TTCCCTAGGAGTCAACATTGTTCTTAAGTCTGTGTCAAATGAATCCCTCCCTCTTGAGATTAGCATAAAGAGGAACTTGGCCTTACCTGTAAAAGACTTCACCATTATCCTTTGTTTTGTACTTCCTTGTGATTTTACTTTGTTTACCTTCCTTATGATTCTAAATAAATAATCAGAGAAGCATGGTTTGAGGTCTTCAGTTGAGAACTGCTGACCCTCTGTTTTACGCTCTCTGCTCTATCTCATTCCTGGCTGTTTGTTTCTTTATTAATAATTATAAAATTATTCTCTTCTTTGGGACCCTCGGTCTGCAACAGTCCACTATGTGGCAAACTGTTTCTGAAAGAGACTCTGTCGGACCCAGGGGGGCTGTGCTGCACGCGGAGCAGGTCAGTGCTGGAACCTGCTGAACGGCCCCCGACCCTCGAGGACATATTCACTGCACTTTGAAAGGGACTCTTCACTTCTCAGTGAAGCTCTCAGCGTACCACACGGACCCAGCGGCCTCCCGTCTCAGGGAGAGGCTGCCGCTACTTACTGTTCTGAATGCCGTAAATTTCGTCGATGAGCCCTTCGTAGGTGAGCTGCGTGGCCAGAGGCGTGAGCAAGTCCACGTTCCGATCGAGCAGCAGGAGATTATCAAACACAGGGAACACGGCGTTCTGGCTGCCTGTGAGCTCTCTCTTCATCCTCACCATCATGTTGGCCACTTGCTGGAGACAAAACACTCCATCAGGGAGGGCTCTCCTGCAGACCAGGAGGTTTTATAATCTGGCTAAAAACAGGCCGGCGAACATTTTTTAAAGAAAAGGAGAAAAAGAAGAGCAGCCGTGCGGGTGACACGGAGTCAGCGGCTGGAGAGCATTTCCTGCTGGCCGCCCTGCCCTCTCACACCCTAGCTGAGAGTGGACACTTCCCTGCGAGACCTAAAAGCTCGCGGCCTGCCCGCCATCCGCCTGCCCGCCCGGCTCACCCGAGCGCACTCGCCTTTCCCAAAGATCTGGGGGATGGTGCCGTAGAGCGCCTGCAGGGTCATCAGCCCCTTGGCCGCGTGGTAGAGGCTGGTCTGGTCACTCTCCAGGTAACACTCCTGCAGGGAGGAGAAGGTGGTCGGTTCCCTGCAGACGATGGACAGTCTGCCCGGGGCCTTTGAGAGGCTGCGTGGGCCTCATATCCACATGCACGCTGTCTGTCCAGGCCCAGCTCCGTCCGGCACTGCAGGAGGCCTCCCACCATCCCAGCTCCTCAGCTCTTGACAAAATACTAATGAAGAAAGACTCACACCGGGCAGCCACGGTGCTGGGCGAACACTGGGGTTCAATGTTTCAGAAGACCAAATGCTGCTCAGAAGTGCACTGCATTAGGCAAATCTGCCAGAAGAGAGCTCTCTTCAAGCGCTAAAAATGCAGAGATGCCACTCGGACCTCTAAGGTGGATCTGCACCGGGCCACGTTAACATCAGTGGTCTCATGTGCAAGCTGGACCGTGAGCAGAAGGACTGCGGAAGGAGAGCGAGCATGCCGCCGCTGCTGGGAAAACACACTGACGTGTGCTGGAGGCGTGCGGTGAGAACACTCCCTACAGGTGAGGAGGGTGAGACTTCGTCTCACACACTCTGGACCTGTTAGCAGCAGGGGCCAGTGTGTGGAGGAGGGCACCGGGGCCGGAGGAGGGCACCAGGTCCAGAGGACGGCACCGGGGCCGGAGGAGGGCACCCTGACCGGAGGAGGACACCGGGACCGGAGGAGGGCACCGGGACCGGAGGAGGGCACCCTGACCGGAGGAGGACACCGGGACCGGAGGAGGACACCGGGACCGGAGGAGGGCACCCTGACCGGAGGAGGACACCGGGACCGGAGGAGGGCACCGGGACCGGAGGAGGGCACCGGGACCGGAGGAGG